TCCTTCTTCTCCACCACCTCCTCCTCCTCCTCCTCCTCCTCCTCCTCCTCCTCCTCCCCTCCTCCTCAATCATCATCATCATCATCATCATCTCATCATCATCATCATCATCATCATCATCATCACATCAACATCATCATCATCATCATCATCATCATCATCTCATCATCATCATCATCATCATCATCATCATCATCATCATCATCAGCATCATCATCATCATCATCCTCATCATCCTCATCATCATCATCACCATCCTCATCCTCATCCTCATCCTCTCCTCATCCTCATCTCATCTTCATCCTCCTCCTCCTCCTCCTCCTCTCCTTCTCCTCCCACTCCTCCTCCTCCTCCTCCTCCTCCTCCTCCTCCTCCCTTCGCCTCCCCCTCCTCTCCCTTCCTCCTCCCCTCCTCCTCCTCCTCCTCCTCCTCCTCCTCCTCCTCCTGCCCCAGGACCCGCAGCCGGTGGCCCTCCCCGGTGTCCTGCGCCCTGCCGCCCTCCTCCCCTCCTCCTCGGTGAGGGAGGAGGAGGAGGGGAGAGGAGGAGAGAGAGAGGAGGAGGAGGAGGAGGAGCAGGACGAGAGGAGCAGGACGAGGAGGAGGAGGAGGAGGAGGAGGTCGCGTTTCCCCTCCTCCAAACGATACAGAAAAACCACAGAAAAACAGCAAACCTCCGCACCCTCCTCCTCGGTGAGCAGGAGAAGGGGTAGGGTCGCGCTGCCTTTTCGCCAAACTAAAGAAGCACTCTCCTCGGAGCTGGGGCCCCCGGAGGTCCAGGGGGGCTCCCGCGCCTGCTGCCCGCGGCGTGCCCGCGACGCGTCGCGGACGGCAGGTGCGGATGAGGGATCGCTGCGCAGCGGTGCGACGAGAGAAGGTCCGACCCGACCTGCGGCCTCCTCGCTTGAGCGGCAAGCGAGGGGAAGTGACAAGGAGAGGGCCTCCTCAGAAGGCGGCGGGGCTTCTGACAAGTGTTCTGTGTCTGTGTTTTCGGGGAAGGCTGAGAAGTTTTCTGTGTCTTCGGGGGAGGCTTAGAATATTATTCAGAAGGCCAGAGGACTTCCGAGCCTTTTGAGGAAGGCCCGCCCCTTCCCCCCCCCCACGGGATCGCCGCATCCTCTGCAGATGCATCGCTCGGCCACGTCGCAGGGCGCGGTCCGGCGCGGAGCCTCGGGCCCGCTTCTGATGCTCATCGTCCCCGTCCTCCTCCGCCAGCTCCTGTTCGTCCTTCTCGAACTCGATTCCCGTCCTCGCCTTACTTTCTTCAGATTATCGAGGACGCCGGCGGCGCATCACCGGCCGCTCCCTGGGAGTTTGCCGAAGATCGCGCAGCATCGAAAGTCGTGACGTGGCGCGGCCCATCCCGCCACCGTGCTTGGGTTTTGGGTCGGAGTCCTCGTGGACGCTTCTTGGGGTCTCTCGAGAGGGCTCTCGGGGCCTCTGCGGGGGAGTTTAGGGCCTCTTGAGGGCCTCCTGGGGGCTTCTTGTGAGCCTCTTGGGGGCCTCTTGGGGCCTCTTGGGGGCTCTCTTGGAGCCTCTTGGGGGCCTCCTGGGGGCCTCTAAGAGCCCCCTGGGGGCCTCTTGGGACCGAAAGCTCAAAATGTTCATTCGGATTCCCCTTCTGAGCGCCCTCTTGGGGCCGTCCTGGGGCCTCTCTTAGGCCGTTCTGGGTGCCTCTTGGGCCGTCTTGGGGCCCTCTTGCGCCGTCTTGGAGCCCTCTTGGGGGCTTGTTGGGCCGTCCTGGGGCGATCTTGGGGGCCTCTTGGGCCGTCTTGGAGCGTGGGTAAGCCGAAATGGCGAGAACGCGAAAATCTTTCAAAAACAATGAAAATCAATGATTTTTGCATGTTGGGGCTCTCTTGGGGGTGCTCTTGGAGGCCTCTTGGGCCGTCTTGGAGGCGTCTTGGGCCGTCTGGAGGACATCTTTGGCGTCTTGGAGCGATCTGGAGCCGTCTGGAGGCTCTCTTGGACTGCTCGGGACTCTCTAGGACCGGCTTGGGGCGCCCTTGGGTCGTCCCCGGGGGGGGCCGGCGGCAGAGTGGGGCCCCCTCGGAGGGACTTTCAGGAGGCTTTTGACAAAGCACTGGGGAAGGGGGCCAAAGACTGTACCAAACACTCTGTCAGAGAGGTCTCGCACGGCCCACACCGCAGGGCGGGAGCGGCTGGATCGAGGACGCCGGCGGCGCATCACCGGCCGCGAGTTTGTCGAAGTGGTGCGCAGCATCGAACGTCGTGACGCTCCAGGGGCCTCTTGGGGGCGTCCCAGGGGCTTCTTGGAGACCTCTTGGGGCCCTCTTGGGGCCTCTTGGGGCTCTCTGGGGGTTTGTTGGGGGCCTCCAGGGGGCCTCTTAGGGCCTCCTGGGGGCCTCTTGAGCCGAAAGCTCGAAATGTTCATTCGGGTTCCCCTTCTGGGCCTCCTCTTGGGGTTATCCTGGGGCCCCTCTTGGCCCGTCTCGGGGGCCTCTTGGGCGGTCTGGGGGCCCTCTTGGGCCGTCTTGGGGCCGTCTTGGGGGCCTGTTGGGCCGTCCTGGGGCGATCTTGGGGGCCTCTTTAGCCGTCGTGGAGCGTGGGTAAGCCGAAATGGCGTGAACGTGAAAATCCTTCAAAAACCATTGGAAAATCAATGATTTTTGCTTCTCGGGGCTGTCTTGGGGGTGCTCTTGGAGCCCTCTTGGGCCGTCTTGAAGGCGTCTTGGGCCGTCTGGAGGCAATCTTGGGCGTCTTGGAGCGATCTGGAACCGTCTGGAGGCTCTCTTGGACTGCTCGGGGCTCTCTTGGACCGGCTTGGGGCGCCCTTGGGTCGTCCCCGGGCCGTTTGAGACCTTGAGGGTGGGGGGGCTGGCGGCAGAGTGGGGCCCCCTCGGAGGGACTTTCAGGAGGTTTTTGACCAGGCACTGGAGAAGGGGGCCAAAGACTGTGCCAGACACTGTGTCAGAGAGGTCTCGCACGGCCCAACCCGCAGCCTTGGCGCATCTAGGAACATCATGCGGGGGCGGATTGGAATCATCAGCGCACACAGAGACGTTGGCGTTGTCGAAGACGCCTACGGCAAATCACCGCCGCCCCCTGCCTTCTAGAATCGCCCATGTGGCCGAGCGTTGTGGCAAGAGCTCCGCCAAGCTATCGGACCATGTGTTCCCCCAAGCGTTGTGGAACCCCTTCGGAGAACACTTGGGGGAGGATGGCGGGGAAGATCAGGAGGAGGCGGAGGAGGAGGTGGAGGAGGAGGAGGAGGAGGAGGAGGAGCAGAAGGAGGAGGAGGCGGAGGAGGAGGAGGAGGAGGAGGAGGAGGAGGAGGAGGGGGAGGAGGAGGAGGAGGAGGAGGAGGAGGAGGAGGAGGAGGCGGAGGCGGAGGAGGAGGAGGCGGAAAAGGAGGGCGGGGCATCTTGGGAGGCTATGGGGACACTCTTGGGACTTCCTGGGAGCTTCCTGGGAGCTTCTTGGAGGCATCTTGGGGGCCTCCTTGGGCCTCTTGCGGGCCTTTGGGGACTTCTCGGGGGCCCCTTTGGCTGTCTTGGTGAGCTCCTGGCCCGTCTGACGCCGTCGGAAGCCGTCTTGGGGGCCTCTCTGGGCCGACTTGGGGCCCTCTTGGGGTGCTCCAGGGCCGTCTTAGAGGCCATCTTGGGCGTCTTGGAGGCCTCTTGGGCCGTCTTGGGGCCCTATTGGGCCTGTCTTGGGGGCCTCTTGGACCCTTCTGGGGCCATCCTGGGGGCCTCCCTCTTGTGCGATCTTGGGGCGATCTTTGGGGGCTCTTGGGACGTCTCGGGCCGTCGGTAGGCCGAAGAGAAGCAAATTCCTAAATCCTTCAAACACCTAAGCGAAACATCACTGATTTGGGCCTCTACGGGCCTCCCTGGAGGTCCTCTTGGAGGCCTCTTGGGCCACCTTAGGGCCATCTTGGGCCGTCTCGGTGGGCTCCTGGCCTGTCTGACGCCGTCGGAAGCCGCTTGGGGGGCCTCTCTGGGCCGACTTGAGGCCGTCTTGAGGCTTTGGCTGTCTTGGGCGTGTTAGAGGCCTCTTGGGCAGTCTTGGGGCCCTCTTGAGGCCGTCTTGGGGGGCCTCTTGGGCCGTTCTTGGGCCATCTTAGAGGCCTCTTGGGCGATCTTGTGGCGATCTTTGGGAGCTCTTGAGCCGTCTCGGGCCGTCGGTAGGCCGAAAAGAAGCAAATGCCAAACTATTTCCAACACCTTAGACAAAGCAATGATTTGGGCCTCTTCGGGGGCTGTCTTGAGCGCTTCTTGAGTCATCTTGGAGCCCTCTTGCGCCGTCGTGGGGCCCTCGTGGAGGCGTCTTGGACTGTCTTGGGGCGGTCTTGGGAGTTTCTTGAGCCGACTTGGAGCGTCGGAAAGCCCGAGAGAAGGCCAACATCCATCAAAACCCATCGTAAATCTACGAGCTGGGCCTCCTGGGGCTCTCTCGGGAGGCCTCTTGGAGCGCTCTTGGGGCCTCTTTGGCCCTCTTGGGTCGTCTTGGAACCATCTTCGGGCGCCATGGATCACTTTGGCCTCGGCAATGCGAACACGGCGTCATTTGCAACGGTTTACGGCTTCGGGGACGCGAATATCGCGTAAGTTACGCTGGTTGCTTGCCTCGGGGACGCAAGAAACGCGTGTATTTTACAACGGTTTGGGGCCTCGGGGACGCGAAGATGGCGTAAGTTACGAAGAATTATGGCCTCGGGGGCGCGAACCTCACGTATCTGCACATGTCCCACGCCCCCCCGGGAATTCGGAGACAGCGATCCGGGCGTGGTAACCGGCTGGTTTGGGGTTCCCCGCCCTCGCGCGGAGTGTAACAGTTTACAGCAGGAAGCAGAAAGCAGAACTGCAGCGCTGGACGCTTGAGACTGCAACTGGCGCAGGGAGCAGCACACTTCGGCCTACAGCCTGGTTCCCCCACAAGGGGGCCGGTGGATTTCTGCACAGCCAAGGCCCGCATCGGAAATGGGCTGCCGCAGAACGCTGGATCCAGACCACACCGTTAGTCACCACCCACCAAACCAACCCAACGAAACCCGAAGGCCTCAATTTGCCCTCCATTTCCAGTGTGGGGGGGTCGGGGAACATTGACAAAACACATACGGAACCCGTACCCCCCCCCACCCACTCGAAATTCGGGTCTTCGGGTTGGGTTGGGGTGGTCTGCTAGGTAGTCCGTTAGGTAAGCGGTCCTCCCACTTGCGCCTGGCCGTAGTGCTCCTCCGCTTCTTTCTCTTCCCCCCTCTCGTCTTCGCCTGCGAGGGGCGGGCCTGCCTCTCTTTTCCCTCGGGTGGGAGGGGGGAGAAGTTGATGAGAACGAGGGAGAAGGGGGAGGAAAACGAGGGAGGAGGAGGAGGAGGAGGAGGAGGAGAACAAGGGAGGAGGAGGAGGAGGAGGAGGAGGAGGAGGAGGAGGAGGGGGTGAGGAGGAGGAATGTGAGGAGGTGCTCCTCCGCTTCTTCCTCTTCCCCCATCTCGTCTTCCTCCTGCGTCCCCGCTGCGCTGCCGCGCCAGCGGTTCCGACCGCCCTCGCGGGGCGGGCCCGCTCTCTTCCTCCTCGGGGGGGGAGGGGGGAGGAGAGGAGGAGGAGGAGAGGAGGAGGAGGAGGAGGAGAGGAGGAGGAGGAGAGGAGGAGGAGGAGGAGGGGAGGAGGAGGAGGAGGAGGAGGACGAGGGAGGAGGAGGAGGAGGAGGAGGAGGGGGAGGAAGAGGAGGAAGAGGAGCAGGAGGAGGAGGAGGAGGAGGAGGAGGAGGAGGAGGGAGGAGGGAGGAGGACGAGGGAGGAGGAGGAGGAGGAGGACGAGGGAGGAGGAGGAGGAGGAGGAGGAGGAGGAGGAGGGGGGAGGAGGAGGAGGAGGAGTGGAGGAGCGGAGGAGGAGGAAGGAGGAGGGGAGAGAACGAGAGAGGAGGAGGAGGTGGAGGAGGAGGAGGAGGAGGAGGAGGAGGTGGAGGAGGAGGAGGAGGAAGAGGAGGAGGAGGAGGAGGAGGAGGGGGAGGAAGAGGAGGATAACAACGAGGGAGGCCGAGGGCGGACGAGGAGATGGCGGAGGATGCGGGGGAGGAAGAGCGAGGAGACGGAGGGAGGAGTCCTCCAATACCCACTCGGCCATCTGAGAGGAACGTGTGGATTGAAGAAATGATGGCCTGGGCCTCGACGATGCATCGAGCTTCGCTGCTGCATAATTCATTGGACGGGGGGCAGACACTGTGGTCTTGGGTGGCGCTCGCCCAGCCGCACTCTTGGGGGAAGGGGACGCACGGGAGGAGGTGAAGGAGGAGAAGGGACAAATTTTTGGGCAGCCTGGCGCGGGGGGGTCAGATGAGAAGCGCAGATCGTTGCCAACGAGAAGCCATCGGCGGGGGCCGACCCTTGGCGGTGGCACGTCCGAGCGTCATCCAGTACCGGGCGGCGTTCAGGCGTGCCACCGTCCAGGGGTCGCCCCCCGCCTCCCTGATGGGTTCTTGGTAACGGCGGTTTCTGTTTCTCCTCTGTAGTGCTACGCGACGTTCCGTGCAACATTCCTCACGGGTCCTTTTCGAAGCGCCAGCGTACTCTGCACGTCCCTCGCCCACAGTTGGGCCGCCCTCCGGTTTCTAGCGGGACTTTGACAAGTGCATAAATTTGTATATGTCGATCGAGGGGCACCTCAGTAAACCCATACTGGTTGGAATGTCTTCTCCAAACCCTCTGACTCCAAGGGATGTCATTTCGAGCGTGTGTTATGTGCTGATCTATTCGAGCTGACATGAATTGCGCTAAGTCAAGCTGAGGCACTTGCCAAATCTTGCGAGCAACGCTGCAGAGCACGTTGTTTCAATCAATCCTCATCGACGTGCAGACGCACTAGAAGCTGGCACGCCGCGTGACGACCTAAAATGAGATATGCAACATGTTAGATGCGTATGTTGAATCGTAGCTGCGGCAAGCGATGCCGAGCTACGATTGGCTACCACAACAGGCGAGGGACACTGCTAGGAGGAGGAGGAGGAGGAGGAAAAGGAGGAGCAGGAGGTCGAGAAGGGAAATGCGGAGGAGGAGGAGGAGGAGGAGGAGGAGGAGGAGGAGGAGGAGGAGGAGGAGGGGAGGAGGAGGAGGAAGACCAACCATTTGGCACTGTCGTAACACTTCCCTGCATGGCGAGCGTGAGCCACCTCGATGCGAATCTTGCGAGGGAGGGCGACGTCCAACAACAAATGAGGGAGGATTCAGGAGGGAAGGCGGACAACCATCGAGCCCGAGTGAGGTCTGACAATACTGTTAGGTTAGCATGCCTGGATCAAGAGCGTCGCTGCTGCCTGGCACTTTTGGATACATGCGGTGGCCGTCAGCATGGGTCGGACGTGTGACTCACATTCGCGCATATCTCTGGCGTACCCCCAGCTGCCGGTCAGGAGGCGGCAGCTGCAGCTGCGCACCAAGCCCATCCGGAAGCCCGCTGCGGCCGCGCCGCTGGAGGAGGTGGCCGCCGGCGAGGAGGTCGCCGAAGACGGCGAGGGCGCGGGCGGCAGCGCCGCCGCCAAGGGCAG